CCCGGGTGGTGGGGCTCGGACTTTGGCCCCATGCCCCAGCAAGTCTAAGCCAGCCCTGGCAACCCCATTAAAATGGGGTCGCGACCTACTTTGGGGTCCCAACCCACAGTTTGAGAACTGTTGGTTTAGTACCTTGTTGGTTAGAGAATAGAAGTCAGAATGCAATTCAGAGCCGGTTCTGACTAGCTTCCCTTTCCTTGCACAGCTAAGTGATCTGGTAGCCCTTGTTCGAGGAAAGCTGTCGAGGATGCAGCGAACAGTGTTATCAGCTCTCATTGTGATTGAAGTCCATGCCAAGGATGTCGCTGCTAAGCTGATTGAGGAGAATGTGATGAGTGAGAATGATTTTGAGTGGATCTCTCAGCTCAGGTAAGGGAAACAGCCATCAAACATGGTCTGGATTCACTGGCCACCATCCATTATCATTACCTATCGGCAGCATCAGTAACATGAAGGGAAATCAAGTGTGTTTGCATAGTGTGTCTATTTAAGACTAATCTTAGAGCCAAGTGGATTGAATGTTTTAGGACTATATCATAGTCAGTTACACCATCACGATTGCGCATCTGTAACCCATGCCTGCCTCCGTCAGGCTATGTTAACACAGACCCAGGCTCTGGGGCACTTTCTCTTTGCATGTGATACATGGATTAGACTGTGCCGCAACATTCTAAAGGCCTGCCCATGCCCAGTGGGGAGGCATGATTCTTGACAATGTTATCAGATGTCCTAACCAGTGAGGATTGTAGACATTCCCCTTGCACAGCACCTCCTGCTTACAATTGTTTCCTGGCACCCAGAGAAGTCAGGATTGTCCTTCTAGCCAACACCACTGCCTTCCTAAAGCAATTACTTATTATCTCTGACCCAGTGCTGAGGTAGCGCATGACTCCTAGAGCCTGGAGTGCAGTAAATTTTATCAGCCACAAGCAGTGTCTCTTTTAGCTCTTGCTATTATTGTACCTCTGCCAGTACTTCTTTGTCTTTGAGATTCCATTTTCACTCACCATTAGATACTACTGGACAAGGAATGATCTGTACATCCGAGCAGTGAATGCTGAATTCATCTATGGCTATGAATATTTGGGAAACAGTGGACGCCTGGTCATCACACCCCTCACTGACAGGTACAGAGATTATTCAGAGAATAATAACTAAGCATCTGTGTAGTTTTGGGGGAACAGATCTCATTCTGAGTTAAATCCAGGATCTTCCTCTGCCAGCCTTACTCCTGCTGAGCAGCACTTAATTACACAAGTAGCCTTGGGACTGTTTGTATAGCCAGGTGTTACTTGAGATGAGGTAGATTGGGCCCTTACTGATGTTGGATCTACAGGATTCCTAATGATCCATGCTCCCACCAGCCAGTTAAAGATTTATGCTATGGCATGATTCTTAGTGAACTGCTCTGAGACATAAAAAAAAATCCAGCTGAATAACAAAGGGCTCATTCTATTCTTGGTGATTACACATCCTTGGACAGATAAACCAGTACCATGGAATATGTGTGTTTCCTAGTAACGATAATAATAATACTTAGCTCTCGTATAGTAATCATACTCCTTACAGACAGACAGTGAATTTCCATCAAATTGTACAAGGGGTTAGCCATGCAACTCCCATTAATGTTAACAGAAACCGCTTAGCTAAATCCCTGTACACTTTGCTGAATATGTAAGTAAAGCTCTCTGAATAATATGGGATGGATTTTCAGTGATCATGCCAGGCAGATAGATAGAGCAGATCACCCTAAATAATGAAATGGGATCTACAGTTCTTAAGCCCAAGTAGGAACACTTCTAATGATCACTGTTTTCTTCATTGCTGTAGGTGCTACTTGACACTTACTGGAGCTCTGCATCTAAAATTTGGAGGAGCACCTGCAGGACCTGCTGGAACAGGCAAAACTGAAACAACTAAAGATCTGGGGAAAGCTCTAGCCATACAGACAGTAGTGTTCAACTGCTCCGACCAGCTTGACTTCATGGCTATGGGAAAATTCCTGAAGGGACTAGCCAGGTGCAAAAAGTGAAAAATAAAAATGCCACCTGTGCCTTACAAGTGGGTGGGAGGGGGGAGGTGCTGGCAGTCTGGATGAGGGCCTTGGAGCGATAGCCATAAGGAAAAGAGGGGAGCTGTGGCATAGCATTAAGGGGGAATGAAGAAGGCCTTTCTGCATTGTTTTAATCATCTAGGAACTTTGCAGTTCCAAAACTAATGAGTGATGGAACGGCCGCAGGATGCTAGCCTTATGCCTGTTGGAAGGAAACATAGAGGCATTGTTGTGCCAGTATAAAGGAACAGTTGGATTCTTGCCAAGCAAAAATAAAATGTTTTACACCATTTTCATTTGGGGCTGTCTACAAATGCTACCAGCTCAAATGTACATCTTTGACCCTTTGCATACTATCTTACATGTCCGGCTAGGGTCAGTCCTCAGACCTTTTAAATTTCCAGAGGAGAGAACCTGCTGACCATAGCCATGACTGAGTAGCCAGGAGAGCCTGTTGTGGTTCCCAAGGAATCCTTATAGAATTGGCCCCCTGTTCTCTGCATAACAGACAGAGCTGGTCCAATTGTGCATTGCACACGTGCAGCCAATGCATTCCGATATCCCTTGTCAGACCTTTTTTTGCAAGTAGTTTTATGTCCTTTTTTGAACATCCCTAATGATGAGAGCGCCTCTCTCATGCACAGACGTCTCTTCCTGGAATGCAATGCAGGCATCTTAGATGTCTAAATTATGTCAGCTGCACCCACATTATGGGTACAAAATGAAAGGCTGAGTTGATGTCCCTTTCAATAGCAGGCCTGTAATATGCTGTGTTTGTATCAGGCTGCCCATATGGTTACCTGCCCAGGTAACAATGGTGTAGTATCCTAGCAGCAATGCTGAGGACTGTTGGATTCGTTTCCTGCCTCTCTCTCACATGGCCACCCCCACACAGAACTGATACTTAGGGCTGGTTGAACTGCTAGAATTTCTCCCTATCTCTGTGTTCCTGACACTTCTCTGGTTTTCCCTTCCCTTCTCAGCTCCGGCGCGTGGGCTTGCTTTGATGAGTTTAACCGCATTGACGTTGAGGTGTTGTCCGTAGTGGCTCAACAGATCACAACCATTCAGAAGGCCCAGCAGCAAAGGGTGAGTCTTCAAAGATAGAGAAGGGCAATCCAGACATTGTCCTTTACTTCTCTGTCCTATATTTGGTTCTAATCTTAGAGCCAATGTGGACACTTAGTGACACAGATGAGACTGTGCTACCATTCCTGATGGCCTCCACTGCAATGCAAAAAGTAAGATGTACTGTTGTGACAAGGAAAAAGTCAACATAGTTGCTGTAAACGTGCGGGACTCACCCCTGCTGGTGTCCTGGGAATTAGCTCTTGATCCAGCCTCTGGAGTGCCCTCTGCAGGCTGGTGTCCCCCTTCTGCTTGGTCCCCGTGTCCCTTCCAGACCCAGTGTCCCGTTATCTGGGGAACCCCCAGCCACTATCCCCACCTTGCCTCAGTCTGGGCTACTGCAGTGTAAAAGCCACTCATCATAGGCAAGGTTGGGTTTGGACCTGCTGCCTTTGCCTACCCCTGGGCTGCCCTCTGCAACCCCTGGTACCTGTTGGCCTTATGCTAGGCCGCAGGCTGGAGCCTCCCCAGCTCCTCTGCCTTTCCCCAGCCCTGCTCTACTCAGGTCCTTGCAGCCAGGTCCCTCCCTCTCAGAAGCTAGAAGGAGTCTCTCTGTGCTCCTGGCAGAAAGCCTTTTTATAGGGGCCGGCTGTGGTCTGATTGGGGCGTGGCCCAGCTGTGGCCACTTCCCCAATCAGCCCAGCTTTTCCCCTGCCACAGCCCTCTCCCAGGGCTGTTTTAAGCCCTTTCAGGCAGGACAGGGGACCACCCCGCTACAGTTGCTCATAAGTGATTGGAGGAATTCACAGTGTGTTATCCAGCCCCTAGATATTTCCAAAGCGACCCTCCCCACACACACACACCTCTGAGTTCTTGATCCCATATGGAGATTCAGCAGTCAGTAATTCTAACAGCCAACCACTGTGCTGCTCCTGGGAGGATTGATAAAGGTTAAGATCCGAAGCTGCTTGACATTGGCTTAGTAGAAACTTGCTTGCAATGAATTCTGCTGCTTTATCCACCATCTGAAACTGTCCCCTCTCTCTTAAAAGGGATTTCAGGCTTTTTCTTGCCTCATGCCACAAATTAATTCTGTCCCTAATTCACAGACAGAATAAATGTGAAGGCGTCTGTCTGTTTATAGCTGGGGGTTGGAAGCCTCTTCATGAGCAAAAGAAATATTGTAAGTGATCAGTAAATCTTCTGTCTAAGAGCCGGGCTCTTCATAAAAGGAGGAGAAATACTGCTCGTAAGACTGGGTTTCTGTATGGGAGCCAGAGCTAGTCATTCATACCAGTGAGGTGACCCATACCTGTCCCTAGTAGCTAATTTCAATATAGAGGGGAAAGTGGTTGTTTTTCTGGTACAAAGGAAGATCCTGTCATCTGCTTATTTAATTCTAGAGTCCCTGCCTTTGTTTATTGGGCATGGCCGTGTTTTGGTTTTCTAGGTGGACCGCTTCATGTTTGAAGGAACTGAGATCCCACTGGTCCCATCCTGTGCAGTCTTCATCACCATGAACCCTGGATATGCTGGACGCACTGAATTACCAGATAACTTAAAGGTCAGTAAACACCATCACTGCACTAGCACAGAGAGGAAGGATAGTTCTATGGTCTGCTAGTCTGACTTGGGAGACTTGGGTCCAATTCCCTGCTCTGCCACAGACTTTCTGTGTGACCTTGGGCAAGTCATTTAGTGTCTCAGTGCCTCAGTTCCCCATCTGTAAGATGGGGATAATAGCTCTGCCCGGTCTCACAGGGATGTTGAGAGGGTAAATACATTAAAGATTACTATGATACTATGGAGATGGGGGCAAAATAAGGACCTAAACTATCCAGATCATTACTGAAAAACGAATATATGCTGTACCTCACCCTCGCATAGAGATGGGAGGGGGATATAGCTGCCCACTTGGGATTATGGCAAGTCACAGGAGTTGAACAGACAAATATTTAAGGGATTGAGAGACCTAACATTTAATAAGGGAAGCCTGTGGCTGCTGTTCCATATAGTAAAGAGGCATCTTAGAGTGGGCTGACCTGGGGATTTAGCAGCAGCCCAGCATGGAAGACTCAGTTTCAGAAACAGCTTACTGACTTCTTGGTTCTGTCTTTAGAGGGGATTTAAAAGAATGACACAGCTCGTGATTACAATGTCTTGCGGCTACAGGGCCTTTTCCACAGGCACACCGATTTCCCAGGTGTTGTGGAGACTCCTTGCTACCTCCAGTGAAATTGCACCACCTAAGCATGAGTGTTCACATTATTTCCTGATGGACCAGTACCCTGCCAGGGTGTACAGGAGGCCACGTGCATTGCAGTAGCCCTGGCATAGCCAATCCCACAGCTCCATCTCCCAATGCCATACCCCTTTAGCAAGCATGAAAGCTGAGATGCTCGCTGAAGCTGGTCTCTGCCCTGCTGGGGAAATGGCTGGAAAAATACTCAGCACAGAGTGGATGCAATAAGAAAAATAAAATGTAGTTAGAAACATCCAGATCTCCCTCTCCAAAGAGCCATGCGATTTTGGGGCCTCAGCTGGAGAGGGCCTGATTTCCTCAGTGTGCTGAGTGCCCGATGAAAATCCAATCAGGCATGTTAAGTTGGGCTCCCAGAAATGGAGGCACCTAAAATCACTACCTTCTTTAGAAAACAGGCCCTTAACTTTACAAACTTCATAATGACTGTGAAAGAAGCAAACAGGTTTTCTTGTTGCTTGCACCTGAGCTGAGTGTGACCTGGCCTGGCTAGTGGGTCCAGGTGAGCTTGTGGCACAGATAGTTAAAAATTAGTCAGTTATAACAATGTGTTAATGAGAGACACTAAACCTGCATCTCCATAATGCCATTTTTATGCTGTACCTTTTCAGGATGGAACTCCACCTTGGTATTTACACTGTTAATAGTGAAACTGTGGATTGTGCAAAGTCTGAGGCCAGAGTCACTGAAACTGTAAATTGCTCCTCCCTCTCTCACCTGGTGACCCACCAGAGATTCACCCGAAGAGAGGGCAGAAGGTGTTACAGCTGCTGCCCTCCTTCAAGATTTTAACTGGGACAGGGCAGCTATCCATTGTGGTTGGGGATCCATAGGAGCCCACCTGGGGAGGCTGCTGGGGAGATGGACTGAATCAGTCTGTTCTCTGGCTGTCCAGGCTTTGCCTTCTCCTCTACCACCATTGTGTCCTATGTGAATAGCACTGATCTCCAGCAGACCTCCCAGAAAAGGAGAGCTTGTGTGGCTTTTTTGTGCCACTCCAGCTTACCCACCCCAGCTTAGCCAGCATGAACTGAGGTGTGATTCTGAACCTTAGAGAACAATGTATCCAGTATTGTAAGAAATGGACAACACCGTGCTTCTGCCAGTCAGTGTAGCAGGGTGGTTGGTGATCTGGGCGTGCCCATGCCACAAGAGATAAAAGAAGATGCTTTTGGTAGGATTCTAGGATCATTTTGATATCAAGAAACACATCTGTAAGTAAACACTGAGACAGATCCCACAGAGGAGGGTTCAAAAGAGAACTAGATAAGTTCGTAGAGGATAGGTCCATCAATGGCGTCCCTAGCCTCTGTTTGACAGAAGCTGGGAATGGGTGAGAGGGGATGGATCACTTGATGATTGCCTGTTCTGTTCATTCCCGCTGGGGCACAGGATACTGGGCTAGATGGACCTTTGGTCTGATCCAGTATGGCTGCTTTTGTGTTCTTATGTTCTAAAGCTCCTGCTTCAGCCTAGGAGTAGAATTCACACAGGTCTAGACCTGCTGGAGGAGGGAGCAGGGAATAAAGTAGTGTCTTCATCCCGTCCTAATGGATTTGTATATTCCAGGCTCTCTTCCGTCCTGTGGCTATGATGGTTCCAGATTACTCCATGATTGCAGAGATTTCTCTCTACTCCTTTGGGTTCAATGACGCCAAGGTCCTAGCAAAGAAGATCACCACTACGTTCAAACTGTCATCGGAACAGCTCAGCAGCCAGGTCTGTAACTTCTTGATGTATAGCTTTTTTTAAAATGGGAAGGGCATGGAGTATTGGAGTGTCTCTCTTAATTCAAGACTCCATAGTAGTTTAATGTTCCACAGGCCCTCGAGCCTTTCCCACTTTCACAACCACATCTGTGGCCCTCCTTCATCCATCTCATTCTTCTTTAATGCTGATTTGCATCCAATTGTGGCCCAGCTATCCCTCATGCTGTAGTTTCATTTACTTTACATGAATGTTCAGAGCTGCTCTTGCATGACACTTGGGCCCAACAGCAGTTCCTTTTAATATCTCTCTTCATCCAGTTACCCTCCACCTCCTCACCCAGGATAATGCTCCTGGGGCATAATACTTGCTGTTAAAGGAGATGACTTTTCTAGCTTACCTAGCAAACTGATGTGGGTGGGAGGGCTGCTGTTCCAAGGAAATACTCCCTTCCCCCCAACTAATAGATTGAGATTGCAGGTTCATTGTTCCAGGATGATGCGCTGTCTAATTTAGTTATTTCCTCTATGCCTGCTACAGGACCATTATGACTTTGGAATGAGAGCTGTGAAGACTGTGATCTCAGCTGCTGGCAACTTAAAGAGAGAGAATCCTACCATGAATGAAGCAAGTACACTCCAGTTTCATCCATTATGGTTCCACACACATTGTTCTATATTCACCAGCAGTGGTCACTGCAGTCAATAAGAATTCCAGGGAGATAGAATTTTAAAGGGCTCACAGAGGTGCAACCTGAGAAAAAGCAAAGAACAAAATAGACATGACTCCTGAAGTGAAGACCCTGGCAAACCAGGCTGAGGATGATGGATGTGACGGGCATCTTGCAGAAGGAAGCAGGAAGGGGAGCAGAGTTTGTTTAACTATTGGTCCTTAATTCCTTGCAGGAGCTGATCTGCCTTAGGGCCATCCGGGATGTCAATGTACCCAAGTTCCTCCAGGATGACCTCAAGCTGTTCAATGGTATTGTCTCTGACTTGTTTCCCAAGATCAAAGAGGAGCCTATTGAATATGGCATCCTAGAAGAAGCAATCCACAAATCCTGCATCAAAGACAACCTGAAGGATGTTGAAGGTAAGTGGAAAAGCTCTTAAAGGTGAATGGCAAAGTGAACTAAAGTGTGCCTACACACGCACGCACATGCATGTGCTGCCTTCTCTATGGCATGTGAAAATAGCTGCATCAACTTTTTTCCTGGTGTTTTACTGCTTGGTACAGCAGAAATATCAGGCCCTGACTTCCCTCTCTTTCACAGGGGTCTGAAGCAATGTTTGGAGGACTTGGAGAGTGATATCACAGTTGGAGGTTAAAGCCCAAGTGGCAGCCCTCCTATCCCCTAGGTCAGTGGTCTCCAAAGTGGGGTGCGTGCACCCCGGGGGTGCACAAGAGGATCCTTGGGGGTGCGCAGCAGGAGGAGCGCTTTTTGTTGTTGTTGTCGTTGTTGCTTCGTCAGTTCGGGTTGGAGTCCGAGTGGCTTTTTTTCTTTTTTTGCTTCGGCAAAAATGGTAGAGCCGGCGCGGCAGGGGGTGCGTGCTCAAAAATTTTTTTACTGATAGGGTTGCGCGATCAAAAAAGTTTGGAGACCACTGCTCTAGGTGACTGTGGGAGGGATGTTGACTCTTACACTGGGAGACCTGCAGCTTGGATTTCAGTCTCCAGCTATGGTGTCATTTTTCAATGTCTCCAAAACTTGTCAGAGGCCTCCAGAAAAATGGAATAAGTCAGGACCTGATATTTCCAATGCAAAGTTTAAAGTTTAAAACAACCAAAACACATATTTGAGAAAATCTTTATACATTATAAAGGAGCAGTAAAGAGCTCAAAACAATTGTTTTCCATTGTTTTGCCATTTATTTAATACTGCAGATGATACCTTTTATTCAGTGCCATGCTACTCAGGGACAGTGCTGAACAGTGAAATGCAGGGATCCAATACAGAATGTGGTGTCATCTGTTGTTGTTATTGGATGCATCACTCCTTGATGAGCTATTGAAATACAATATAGATATTAAAGGCACTGGGTGATTGATAAGGGCTGAATTACTCTAATGCAGTGATACTAAGACTGAGGTTCCTGAGCCACAAGTGGCTTTTTAATGTGTCTCCTTGCAGTACATGATATTAAAACACTGTGTGATTTAATTCTTAAGCAATCAGGAGGCTTTTGCTGTGTTATGAACCAATTGTAGTTGATAAAATAATAATACTTGGTCAGTCATTTTGCTGTAAAAATAATATATATATATATATATGCGCACACATTATGTGTGTGTACATATAGATAGATAGATAAAAGAGTAAATGAAACACTGAATTCACACTACAGTAGCTCTTTTGGGTAATGCTGATCGCTAATTTGGCTCCTGAACCACTGAGGTCTGAGTATCACTCTGCCAGTTGGAGCATGCAGCCCTCGGATTTGCTGGCAAGTGAAACAGATTACAAGATCCACATTCAGAATCTTGTTCCTTCTCAGGTTTTGTGACAAAGTGCATCCAGCTGTATGAAACCACTGTGGTGCGCCATGGCCTCATGCTGGTGGGGCCAGCAGGCTCGGGGAAAACAAAGGTAAAGGTGATTGAGACACTGCATTGGGTACAGTGAGCCATTGCATGTATATGAATAGCTAGATGGGAGTGGAATGGGGAATCATAGAAGAGTGTTAAATCTTGCACAAAACACTAATGCTGTAGCATTTCTAGCTCTCTATGCATAGCAGCTATGGGAGTGAGAGAGTTTTGTTCTGACTAGAAATAGAGATGAAAATATGGATTTGTAGCAGTGGTGAAGTATATTAGCAACCTGCTCTTCTGGGCTTTGCGATCAGTCTCTGAGGCTTACTAGCGGTGTCCTAAACTTCAGAGTCCCATGCAGAAGTTTGAGGATGGTTTTGAGGCTGACCAGCTTCAACTACTATCATGTAGGGTCTCCAGATATTTCATCAGCCGCTAGTATTGGTGATTTAAGTTCCTTCCCTTCTTTTCTGTGATCAGCCTCTTTCTTACAGATCCATTTCCCAGGCTACTTCCAGACACTTGCAGAAAGCCCTTCATTACATCTCCTCCTTCCTCACTGTCTTCGGAATCATGTCCCTGTGAGTTTACTTCCCCTCTGATTGCTGTCATAGAAGCCATAATGTTTAATTCCCTTCCCTTCTGTCTCTGCAGTGTTACAGAGTTCTGGCAGCTGCAATGACCTCTCTGAAAGGTCAGCCTTCGGTCAGTGGTGGGAATTATGAAGCAGTCAACTACTTTATACTGAATCCGAAATCCATCACAATGGGCCAGCTTTATGGAGAGTTTGACTTGCTAACGCATGAATGGTAAAGGACAAAACCCATCATCCTCCTTCTCATCTGGTCTAGGGCTTCTTGTCATCCATCTAGGTCTATGAACTCTGTAGGATACAGCACCTTAAAGAGCTTTACTTGCTTTAGAGGAAAGAGTGAAGAATGCCTTTTGTGGGGTGTAAATCTGGCTTGTGCTGATGGCCTTCTGTAACTAAGGGAAGATAGTCAAAGAGAAGTTAGGTTCCCAACTCTCATTGCCTGCCATTGGGAATTAGGAGCCTATCTTTGTGCTTGAATATCTCCCCCCCTACTTATTATTTCAGAGGTTCTCCATCCTCATTCTGCAGACTCCTTATTGAGAGAGACTCATCTCCCTTCTCGACAGCCCACTTATCACTGGCTGGGCTTTTAAATGTTCCTCTCTGAGGCTGGCTCAGAAGGGCTTGGTGGATTGATAGAGATCCTCATGCTATAATGTAAGATCCACTTGCATTATTGTAACGCTTCCTGTCAAACCAGCCAGATGCTTAGGAACAAAGTTAAAGAACGTATGTTCCAGAAAACTATGAAAACCAATAAAAAAAAAAACCTCTGAGAAAAGCGAAAGCAAATAAATTTCTCATACTGTACCCTGAAGCTCACTAGCTCTGGGCTCCAGTGAATCTTTATTGAAGGATATTTCTATAGTATATTCCAGTTAAGCTTGACAGCTTATTTATGATGTGGTTCCTGCCCAAGGGCAGCACATAGACACATCAGCGTGACAAAAAATACAGTCTCTATATAAAACACATTTAGAGACATAAATCTCTCTCTTTTAATCAGCTGGGCTTCAGACTAGTCTGTTTCCTTTTGATCTCGGTAACAATGGCCATGAATATCTGTGGTGCTATATAAATAACAATAATTATTTAATAATGGGAGTGCAATTGAGGGTCTGAGCAGCAATTGCACTGTAGACATTCACATACAGATTAAATCCCAGACGTCAACATCCATCACTTTCTCCTCCACTATCCCACTCATCACCAGCAGCACCACTGGCATTGTATGGATGCATTATTAGTGTCCATGTTGTGCTATGTATATAGGAGCAACAGGAATCGGGGTCTTCACTCACAAAGTGGGGTAGGTTTTCTAAAAATGTTATGCTAAAAAGATGTGCAGATTCTAGAGATTTACTGGGGAAGGAGAGAGACATCTTTATCTGCTCACTTTAATAAACTTGCGAGGCACTCAGATACACCGTATATGAACCCAGAGTGAAATCCCGCTCCAGGGAAGTTGGTGGAAATTTTGCTATTGATTTCAACAGGGTCAGAATTTCACTTGGAGATAGATATAATGAAAGCAACTGTTACAGCTTCTCTTGCCTCTTTCCTCCCATGTTACAGGACGGATGGGATTCTTTCATCACTCATTCGGGTGGGAGCAATCGCCAGTGATACAAATAAGAAATGGTATGTGTTTGATGGGCCAGTCGATGCGGTCTGGATTGAGAATATGAACACCGTGCTGGATGATAATAAGAAGCTGTGTCTTAGCTCTGGAGAAATCATTAAGCTAACAGAGGTGACTAACCTCTCTCCTCTTGCTGTCCTGTTTCTCTCTCCTCTCTAGCTGTTCTCTCCTCTGTTTGCTCGCTCTAACATGGTGCAGAATTGCCTTTGCATTTCCAGTTAACATTATGTACAGGATGGATTCCTGCAGAGATTACCATCTGTAGAGCAGTAATAGCTAAGAGCCCTCATCACGAACCAGGACCCCAGTGTGCTAGGTGCAGTACAGACAGAGAACAAGGCAGTCCCTGCTCTAAAGAGCTGACAAGCTACATTTGGTTCTTTCTGTTTGACTGCAGTATATGCGCCGTACCTCTGCAGGCAGGCACTGAGCCTCAGATTTTCAAAGGAGGGCTAAGCCAAATGCTACTGACATTCAAGGGGTGTTGGGAATTCTAACTTTTTTTGCTTCTTTGACAATCCCAGCTTGAGTCTGAGTCCACTGAGGTGAAAATCCCAGGGAGCCCCAGCATTCGCTTTACTCCCCTGCGGCATTACCTGCTTCCCTCCCAACACCAGTGGCAGAGAACTGGTTAGAGCCGATTCCTTTGAGCCGAATAGGTGATCTTATCATTGAGCCATGCTGAAAGACCCTAGGAGCCTTTCTTTCCTAAGGCTGAGCTATGCTGACAGATGCTTGTTTTCCATCCATGGTTTTCAGATGATGACCATGATGTTTGAAGTACAGGACCTGGCTGTTGCCTCCCCCGCCACAGTATCCCGGTGCGGCATGGTTTACCTGGAGCCCAGCCTCTTGGGGCTCAAGCCCTTCACTTGGTGCTGGCTGAGGAAAATTCCAGACATCATGAAGCCTTTCTCAGAGCAGTTAGCATCCCTCTTCAGCAGATTTCTAGAGGTGAGCTCCTGTCATGTTCCAGATCTCTCCCAGTCTGTCTGACAGACCTGGCTTTAGGATGCCAGTTGCTCAGAACCTGTTGGGTTAGTTTTAGAGTAGTCGGTCCTTCTAAAGATCTAAGATTTTAGCCACATCTAAGATTAAATGCCTAAATGATTAAATGCTACCAGTACCCAGAGTGAATCTGCTGGTCTTAATAACTTATGTACTCACTAATCCATATAGATGTGACTTCTTCATACTGGCCCGAAGGACTGTGTGGTTTTTTATAATCAGCACGCCAAATTCTTTCCTGCGGTATCTCTGTTTCCTTCTGTGGAGTTATTCCACGGAGGGACGTAGCTCTGAATTGTAAAACTGAGCCTTGCTATTTCCATCATTTTGATGGAGAACAGAGCACTGTCGGAAATATTTTAAAAGCTATTTATCAGCAATGATGGCAAAAAGAGCAGGACTGTTACTGTATTATAATCTATTCAGTATTAAATAGAAGAGGTTTACTCAGACTCTCTCCTTGGCCTCCATTCTGTGGCTGAAGCGACCGGTATTTGGGGCACAGCTTGAAATAGCAGAATTTTCAGCTGTGACCTCCCTGATAAATGTAACATGCAGTGAGAAAAGGGGAAACTGAAGCCCTAGGAGGTAAATAAACTCTTGAAAGGAAGATGACACAGGAGCTGAGCTGTGTCTGCCTGATCCTTGCAGGAGTCCATCAGCTTTGTCCGGAGTTCAGTGAAAGAGATAATTGCCTCAACAGACAGTAACCTGACGATGAGCCTTCTCAAACTACTGGAGTGCTTCTTTGAACCTTTCATTCCCATTGAGGTAGGAATTTTTGTATCATCCGTTTGTTGCTATTGCTGCTCGTGGCACTAGAGGGTTAAACTGCAGAATGTAGGAGGAACACCAGAGCTACCACCTGTGCACATTACAGGATGGAAGTTCCAGGGAAACAATGTGTTCTATGCATAGTGCTGGAGGGAGCTTGGTCAGTTACTCTGAAGCTCATCTACATACAGCATTGCCCTGACTCATGCTGAATGCATGGTTATATTGAGGATTATCTGCAGTACACCAGAGAAGGATGACTCTAGCTCTGTACACAATAGAGGATTATATTATAAAGCAAGAGGATAATCTGCTAACTACAACAGTAGCTCGACAATTATAGTGCTGGATGAAATAGGTTGCACATTTATATTTAGGAATACACCCGGGATGGTAGTTTCTTTGTATTGATATTGAAGGAGACAGGCATTAAAATCCACAGGCCAAATTTTGCTCTCATTGACAGTAACAAAAATCCAGAGTAACAATGGAGCTTCTCCAGATTTACACCAATGTAACTGAGAGCAGAATTTGGCTCACAGTCTGTAATGAATGGACTCATCTAAGAATCATTCAGAGAAGCAGTAAATAAACTAAATGGAGGCATCAAGATTTTCATTGAGGTGCACATATTTAACCCCCAATCCAATTGAACTGTGTGTGAGGATTAAATTTGTGCTGCTTATTGGATGTTCAGGGAATTAGGAAGGTTCCCCGTGAGAAGGCTGACCGACTTGGAGAACTGATTGAACCCTGGTTCATGTTCTCCTTGATCTGGAGTGTGGGTGCAACTGGAGATGCCCAAAGCCGCGTGGCCTTCAGCATGTGGTTGAGAGAGAAGATGGCAAGTGAACAGGTAAGTGGATGTAAAGGTAATATTAGCTCATGATGGTAGCACCTAGTAACAGGGGTAACAGAGCTCCCTGAATTTCCAGAAGACTTGTGTAAGGGTCCCTCATGGGGTATTATCTACAGGGGGGGAACTTCAAGCTTCATCAGAACATCTGCATCAAAACCTCTAGGAAAGAGGATAGAGAGAGATAAGCCATATGGACTGGACAGAATTTCATTGCTGAAAAGTAATGTTCTCCATATTAGCCTGGTTCCTGTTGGTCAATTGATCTGGACCAGAGCCAGGTGTGACATTCATGCTCTGCTTTATTCCCCACAGATCCAGTTACTTTTCCCAGAGGTGGGGCTGGTTTATGATTATAAACTGGATGATGCTGGGCTCAGCAATCCTGAGGAAGATATAGATGAAGATGTTGTCAAGGAGGTAAAGACTTTACCCACCTCTAACTTGTGGATTAAAAAGCTGAGCAATTCATCAAACTAAAGAATAGAAGGGAGGGACCAGCAGCTAAGGCTAAGGTATTGCACACACAGTAATATCTACTCACCACGGGCGAGAAGGAGCCTTGCCATACTGGGTGGAGATGTCTAAAGAGAAATTGAACGTTGTGTTTAAAAAAAGGTTTCTTACCCTTGTGATTGTGAAGTAGGGCTTCCAAATGCAAGTCTGCAGACAGTTCCAGTGCCTCTGCCATTGCTCAGGGCTTTCCCCTGGTTGAGAAATGTCCAAAGTCTGGTCAATTTCACTACTGTTATTCAGAAGGCTGGAAGGGAGAGAGAGAGAAGTAAAAATAAGAAGATTCATGTCAATTTCATGGTGCTGGTGCTTGGGATAGCCATGAGCAAACTGAATATGAGTCCTCAATGTGATGCAGCTGCAAAAACGGCTAATATTATTTTGGAGTTTAACAGGAAAGTTGTATGTAAGACACAGGAGGTGACTGTCCTGCTCTAATCGGCACTGCTGAGGCTCCAGCTGGAGTACTCTGTCCAATTCTGGGCACCACAATTTAGGAAGGATGTGGACAAATTGAAGAGAGTCCAGAGAAAGCAACAAAAGGTTTAGAAAACTTGATCTATGAGGAAAGTTTAAAAAAACTGGGCATGTTTAGTCTTGATAAAAGAAGACTGAGACCTGATAATAGTCTTCCAGTATGTTGAGGAAGGTGATCAATTTTTCTCCATATCCACTGAAGGTAGGACAAGAAGTAATGGACTTAATCTGCAGCAAGGGTGAGTTAGGTTAGATATTTGGAAAACCTTTCTAATTATAAGGGTAGGTAAGCTCTGGAATAGGCTTCCAAAGGGAGGTCACGGAGTCTCCATGATTGGAAGCTTTTAAAAACAAGTTGGACAAACACCTGTCTGGGATGGTCAAGGTTGACTTGGTACAGCCACAGCTCAGGGGGCTGGACTTGATGACTTCTTGAGGTCCCTTCCAGCCCTGCATTTCTCTGGTTCTCTGACCAGTGGCAGAGGCAGCATTGGAGCTACACCTCTACCCCGATATAACGCTGTCCTCGGGAGCCAAAAAATCTTACTGCGTTATAGGTGAAACCGCGTTATATCGAACTTGCTTTGATCCGCCGGAATGCGCAGCCCCGCCCCCCTGGAGCACTGCTTTACCGCATTATATCCGAATTCATGTTATATCGGGTCACCTTATATCAGGGTAGAGGTGTGTTTGCACTGGGGAAAGACCTCAGAAATGGAATCTGGAGGAGGATTCTCTGAGCCTCACTGGTGGACCCATTCCCTAATCTTTGGACTGGCCTTGAGTTAGTAGGTTTTGGCCTCTGGCTTTTTTCAAGTGGGATGGTAATTCATTTCATGCACACATACAGCCTCTCTGCCCCATGCATTTCAGGTGAACACAGGAATGGAGTCTGCAACAAACAGAGAAAGGTTTCCAATGAAACAGTCTTCCTCCTTTTCAGTCAGATCTATTTCCCTCTTATGGTTTAAGTCTCTCTCTAATGGTACTGTCTGTTCTTGCAGCTATCTCAAATGTTCTGTCAACATTTGAACCAATTTTTCGGAAAGAATTCAAGAGTGAGTTACTTTGGGGGCAACAATCTCTAACCCTCAGGCTGCCCTTAGTCCATAGTAAAAGTGTCAGCTGCTTTGGGGGACAATAATATATAGAGAGATGTTGTAGAGAGGAGAGCAAGTGACCGGGAATCAGGTCACCTAAGAAATCCATTCCTAATCTATACAAAGAGCTTTGAAGAGGAAAAGCACAGTATAAGTGCTGACTCTTATTATCACCATTTTACAGGCAGTTGCTTCTTCCAGTAACAACTCTGTCTTTCAGGTGGGCTGGGTGAATTGGATGGATTACACTGCACAGTTCACCATAGTTCCTGACACAAGCTTCTGTGACATTATAATCCCCACAATGAATACTGTCCAGATGGCCCACCTGCTGGAAATGCTGCTCACCAATCGAAAACCAGTATGTGTCTTGACCTTGCCTTTGCTTTTGGATATAACCTTTGTCTCTTTGGCTGTGGTCCCATTTTCTATATGGTGATAGGTGCCTTAGAAATACTTAATATAGTTAAATTCTCCCCCTGCTGCAGACATTCATTCCTGTAGTTGGACATGGTACTTGGCTTACAAGCATCATTATTCCTTTCCCTCAGCAACTGAGCTGATGCCAACTTTACATAGATAGACCGAGGCAGTGCAGATGCCGGATTCAGCCTCACTTGCTCTAACAGGTCGACCAATCACCACCCAAGATTTCCCCACTCTCTAGGGCTCCCTCCCCTACTTCTCCAGTTCAGTTCTTTTCATTGTGAGAGAGATCTGTTATCCTAATCTGCCTCCCTAACGAAGAGAGTAAACTTTTTGTTCTTGACTGGTTTTGGTAGGAGTCTGTGTCGTCCCCACTGAGCCAGTCAAAGCAAACCAGTTGACAAATGGTTATTCTATCTGCCCGGGTTTACACTGCAATGATGACTACCTTTCCTTTTTCTCACTGCAGGTTCTCTGTGTTGGTCCAACTGGCACTGGGAAGACTCTCACGATTTCAGACAAGCTTTTGAAGAACTTGCCTCTAGAATACATCACCCACTTTCTAACATTTTCTGCTCGCACCTCAGCCAATCAAACCCAGGACCTCATTGACAGCAAACTGGATAAAAGGCAAAACTCTTGCGCTAGCAAAGGCAGCATTCCTGTCATTGATATACCTCTCTGTTAATACCTTTGTCCTTCGGTTCCATCCTGAGCACTGAAAGGACACAGTCCAAATGTAACTCTGGCTGAGGGAAATAAAGGGCACTCCAATCCTAACTTTGGATCAGGGAGGGCTAGAAACATTGGATGCAATGGCCAATGAAAGACAGTAGTGAGAATCTGTTGATGTTGCACGATTCCTTGTTATCCCTTAAATGCTACACAATTTGGCCTAACTAGCAGCGATCATTCCCGAAATCCGGGTACTGGATCTTCAAGGAAACTGGTGAGGGGAGGAAACGTTAGCCATTGCATGCCAAGAATCATCCAGCATGGGCTAGCAGCATTCATTCTTAACCCCAAAGAGGCT